GGTCAGGATCGAGCATGCAAAAAATGACTTAAAGGCAGCCTCCACACGGAGAATCGTCTCCCATCTTCAGTAAAAATATGATGTGCTTGGTCAATGAAGAACATGAGCAACTTCTGAAAAAATGAAGAGGATTAATGAAGAGAAACAGCTCACGGGAAAGCTCTTCCACTGAGGCAACAGTTCATTCATTCGCTGCTGGTAGAAGGGGCGGAGCCAAAGAGGCTCGTAGAACGAAGTACATTGTGCAAGATGTAGGGTGTTGGGACTTTTGCACGTGAAGTTCGTTAATGTTTACACGTTCAACGGGTTTACATGTGTTAGGCGCTCACCGCCAACGTTTTCGAAAGTCTACTGCAAGAATTTAACCATAGTTTATGTAACTATTCGTATGTTCTGGTAATATTTCGTGCTTTTTTGTTTGGTAACATCGGTCTATAATGAAATTGGAAATGCTGAGGTGGCTGAAAATGAAATATGCGCAAACCAAAGCGCTGATGAATCCTTTTAACAACGAGCGAGGGGCGTGTTTGGTCGAGTTGTCCGAATGTGCTTGCTCCATGGCTTCACTAACCGCGCGTATTTGAAGTAGCCGCTACATCGTAATCCACGTTGCGTGTCATAAGGTGTGCGCGAGGTATCTCGTCCATTAGCTCACATTAGCCGCCATTAGCTCACTTTCGCGAGGACTTAGCGCCATTGTCGTGCACTTCCGAGCGGTGACAAGAGTGGAGTGAGGTAGGGCAGGGTGTAACTGCGACAACCACTCCGTCCTTACCAGTGTTAATTGCTACCTTATTGGTTGTGCTTTGATCGGCCGCTCATACCTGTCCGTCTTCCCTCTTAACCTTCAAACGAGAAGCCGAGCAGGCGCTGGTGAGGCACCGCAGAATATCATCCGCTGCTTAGATTTACATTCAAAAGTGAGTTCGATTCCAATGATCTCACGCCATTTCTCTTGGTTTCTTCTTCACTGCTGCACCTTTTGGCAACTCAATTTTCATTTCTGATTCCGACAAAATAGGCATATTCACTTGCCTTTATCCGAAATTGCCTCAGGTTCGATACATTTCTGGTGTACAATCGCCTTTTACCAGAAATGGCACTCCTTTCTTACTTGTTTTATCCTTACCTGTTATATAATTTATCAGATGAGATGTGACTTATCAGATGAGATGTGACTTCTACACGATCACGCTGTCAATCATCGCAGGAGTGGTGACATCATCACCAATTTCCGATCTCATTGAACGAACGGTTGTCGATGAAGACTCCTATACTATCGATACCATCGCCAGCGAGTGCACTTGGTAGGTGAATACGCTTCTCAGGGCCTGAAATGAGTGAAACGTTGGTGCTGTG